AAGGCTATTAGAAATTCGATTAAGTATTTAAGTGAACTTTTTTTTTTTTGAGAAAGTGATGAATATTTTTCTTGTTTGCTATTTGAATATTCAGGTAATATATCACATAAATATTCTATCAAGAGTATTTATTAGGTATTTTTATTAGTTGGTAATTTATTAATAATGTGTAAAAAAAATTCAAAAAACAGGTTTAAGATCAATTTAGGTTGCAGATCAGTTTCAGAATTGGACTTGATGGAGGATTTGAATTCAAGTTGCAAAAATTTGTGGAGTTACTGATTAGATCCGGTTTTATGAGTTGGAGATAAGGATTGTGTTTTGGAAAGAAGATATTTACTTGCAATCCAAGGCAGCTTCAGATTTGAATTCAAAGGCATATTCGATTTGATTTCTAGTGGCATAATCCGATCGCTATTTATGAGGAGAGGAGATAAAGTGATAGCTTGGAGTATTTGAAAGTTTTAGTGGACGTTTGGTTCACGGATTCAGAATCATGATTTAAAATTATTCTCAATTTACGTGTGTTTTTTGTAAAAAAAATACTATAACGAGTCACGAATTATAATTCAAACAATAGCACGAATTCTCGTACCAACCACCCTCTTAGATATATATATATATATACCTTGTGCATGTATGTGGAGGTGTACGTGGAGGTGATGTGCCCAGGAGAGTGAATATTTGGTTTATTGGTTTCTTTGGTTTTAAAGTTCAAATGGGCTGTTTGAATAAAGTGGAGACTTTTACAGATTATTTGGGGAGTTTGATCAGCTAATTTATGAGGCTATGATCGTGAAAGATAATATTCTAGAAGGATTCGAAATTCGAATTTGGAATTAACAAATCAACGTGGAGATAATGTAAGCACAAGTACGTGGATATAATTTGAAATATAATTGGATTGAGCCAAGGTGAATTGGATAAGGAATGTGTCTTCTATAAATACAACTCTAGGCCATTCATTCGGTGTGTTTTCTGGATTTCACGCATAATGTTTCGAGAAGTTCCTATTAACGTTCTTCGGGAGAAGAATTTGTAGTCTTCAATGAAGAGAAGAATTTGTAGTCTTCGGGAGAAGATGATTTGAAGTGTTGAAAGGAGTTCAACCGTTTATCATTCTTCGGGAGAAGAAGTTGAAGCTTTCGAGAGAGAGAGTGACCTACTATACGAACGGATTTCGCCGTGCAGTTTTAAAAACGAGTGATATTCGCTGAATCATGCTATCTAGTTGATTCTACACGGCGGCGATAAATTTTAAAGAGGGAGTCATTAATTGTATAAGTCTGATTAGTATTTGTAATCATTGATAATTAATAAATGATTCAATATTTGAGTCTGGCTCACGGATATAGGTGCTCACCAAACTACGATACCAACTAATTTATGTGCCTATTTATTTACTGTTTTTGGTAATTTATTTAGTTGAACTTTAATTATATCCAGTAAATTACAAAGATCTAACAGTATTGTCACTAACTTACAAGTGGATACAATTCCATTGTGTACCGAGACTGATTATGCAGTTATATTCATTAGGAAGTCTCGGTGACCTTCCAACATGATTTAAGCAAAATAACTATATAAATGTGCTCAACAGCAAAAAAGTATATATGCGGTCGGAAATTGCTTCAAGACCATGTCAAATCCTGAATCTAAAGTTACTAAAAATGCCCTATCACCCATCGAATATGTATCGAGTTTTTTTTTTTTTTGTCGGTTTTGATTATTTTAATTAAATTTAACATTTAGAAACATATACTATTGTAAAATATACCTTAACATAGAAAGCTCCGTTGATATAGAAATTCTTGACTCTCTCTCTCTCTCTCTCTCTCTCTCTCTCTCTCTCTCTCTCTCTCTCTCTCTCTCTCTCTCTCTCTCTCTCTCTCTCTCTCTCTCTCTCTCTCTCTCTCTCTCTCTCTCTCTCTCTCTCTCTCTCTCTCTCTCTCTCTCTCTCTCTCTCTCTCTCTCTCTCTCTCTCTCTCTCTCTCTCTCTCTCTCTCTCTCTCTCTCTCTCTCTCTCTCTCTCTCTCTCTCTCTCTCTCTCTCTCTCTCTCTCTCTCTCTCTCTCTCTCTCTCTCTCTCTCTCTCTCTCTCTCTCTCTCTCTCTCTCTCTACGACATGGAAATTAAGCATAAGTCGTTACTATACTATGAATGAGCTAGTAGGGTATCCTTTATTTTAGTAACACGAAGCAAGTGTCAATTATGTAACTTGGCCACTATCAAGATACATAAAATTGGAGCCATAATAACTTGTAGAAATTTTTAAAAACAATGAAATGGGGATGATATAGATCACTAATTGCTGCTTTACAAACCAAACAAGATGGGCAGAGAATATGCTAAGCTTTCAAGAGTGATCCAAAAGAAGAGCACAAAAAGTGCTAATCCTTGTATCTTTTGGACCCTATCAAAGAAGTAACAAATTTCCCAAGTAAAGAAAGGAGATATGAGAAAGACATCATAAACCAAAACTGCAAAGGCACATCTTTTAAATTCTACCCTTTTTGTTTAAGACGTATTCTCTAAATCCTCAAGATGTAGGTACAAGGATGTCAAAGTTGCTTACAGTCCACTCAACAACTTGATTTGGGTCTTTAAAAATCTCAGTTCCCAAATTTATAGAGGTCCATTTTCTTTTAGCCGGCTGACTTCCGGGGTCCTGCAAGATTACCCAAAAAAAAAAAAAAAAAAAAAGAGGTATTAATCTCCATAATTTGCCTATAGCTTTTTCTATCTCTAATGTTGAATAAAAATGTCATATATTCGCCAACTGAGGATCCATCTTTTTCTATATAACAATGTTATGCATTGTGATCATTTTTATTGATTTTTGTTCAATCCTTTATTTGTATGCCAATAATAAATAGAGGTTACTGTCACAATAGATGAATTTCAATATTTTGTTTTTCACATTACAATGTCTAAGCAATATGAAAACTATATATGAGGACTATTTATAGCTTCTTTACTAGTAAAATTTGTTAAATTAACCAAATGAAATTGGCAAAATGACATTTTCTATTTTTATAAAAATGACCACTCGATTGTTCTTTGTTAATATATTTCAATCATTAAAATTTTTTCATTTAAATGTACGTAAGTCCCAATGTGATGTATATGAATTGAGTCATTTGTAAAAAGGACAATTTACGAAATGACTACGAACGATCGTGCAGTCCTTTACAAAAATAAAAGAGACTATTTTACAATTTTCACTTTTAGGGTAGTTATTTTAGCAAATTTTCTGTATGAATATGTGATTCCTATGTAACAAAAACTTTATTAAAAAAAAAAAGAAGTAAAAAATCAAACCTGATAAAAATAAAGCGATTGTGACAACCTCCCAAGATCGAGCTCCCAAGTTCTTGGATCCCCAATCCAAGCCTCCCCTTGCCTTGTGGGATAACCATAATCACCCCAAACAGGGTGAGGCATAATCTGGAGAATCTCCTGAGGCTGAGGATTACTGTACGGATCACAAAGACTATAAGGCTCCTCTAGGTGTTTTGCATTCCCGGGGGAGCAGTGCATGTGGTAGGCAGAGTAAGGGAAACGAGCGGTGTCGTGGCGGCGGACGACGGTGCCATTGGGGAACGTGTGGAGCGGCGGGCAGAGGCCGAGGTTGTCGGGGCGGCACCAGGACGTGATGTTAGGGTTAATGATCATCTCAGAGTAGCGGGTCACATCGGAGGCGACATTGCCGTCGCAGGGCCTGCCGTCGTTCTTCCAGCAGCCGCCGATGTCTGTAAGGTAGAATTGGCTATTGGGACCCCCGCCTTGGATCACGTTAAGGCTGAATCTTACTTTGAAGTTGGGTGATTCGGGAATCTGCATGCATGCATGCACAAAGGTAAATATATAAATGTGTGTATGTACAAATCAATGGCCCGTTTAGTCATTTGAGTTTTTAATTCGAGTTGAAATGTGATTTAATATAAGAGTTTTTTACTGTAACAAAAAAGTAAAATATGATTGTTTTTGAGAATTTTTTAATGTAGTAAAACTTGAATCGGTGAAATAAACAGGACATAATATTTGTAGGCAATTAACCTTTATGTTGGCAAGTCTAAGCTAATATAGTAACATTGGACTAGTCCAATCAATTGGTCACAATTTCATACATATTAACAAACAATTTCGAAACTCGCAGGAAAAAAAAAAGAACTACTATGTACTCCAAAACATGTCAAGTTCACCAATCGATTGCTAAAATCTATTATACAGGTCTATATATTATTATATGTTGCATATATAGTTGTTATATGTTGTGTATTGTGTTATGAAGCTTTAGAAGAGAAAAACATCACCATTTTTTATTTAATGGTGCTAATAACAGCTAAAAATTGTACTCAATTTGCAAAACATATAGTTCTATTTATTGCTCAATTTTGATCATTGTATGCTATTATGTTTTTTTATATTAATTTGGTAATGTGATCGTTAACAAAACTAAGTGACAAAGCATAAAACCGTAAACGTTGAATGATAGGAAAAAAAAGTGTATTTCTCCTCTCTTAATTTGAACTCGATTTCAAGTCCCCAAATTGAAAACAAGGAAGGTAAGTATGGATCAAAAAACGTGGCTTTAAAGGATAACGTTAAAAAGTACAACTCAAACAACATTATAACAAACTCAATATTGCCTTCTTTTTCCAAACTCCACCGACCGAACCAGTTGGCCCAACACTTTCTTAGATAGCATTCCAAAGTTCACCTTTTTCCTAAGCAACATAAGAAAAAGTTTTGGAGATTCCAACAACTACTTTGACATCTTTTTATTGATAAATGTAAGTTTTTCATATTACTTGACTTGACATTTTTTCAAGTATTTATCAACAAAAGAAATTACCAGTGCACATCTCACTTCAATTAGAAAAAAAAAATCAGCCTAAAAAATTGAAACTCCTAACATAATTTGTAATTAATAGAACAATGCTATAAAACACCGATAGTGCTATACCTACTACTAATAAAAAAAATAAATAAATTTTGCAGTATGAGGTCTACAAGTAAAATTTACCACTTATTAGCAACAGTATTTACCACTGATGATACTCCTCTGAAAAACATTGGCGCGCGTGTAAACGAGGTGCTCTGCCTAACTGAGCTATAGCCCTTATGCTTGTGATACATATTTTATCATGTAGATAATTTCTTGTCAAGATGAATATTCCATGATAAAATGACATATCCCTTCGATCCGTTTGATTGGTATTGCTTATAAGTAATATTCAATTTATAACTCTCAAGCATTTTTTAAAAATATATCTTTACGAATGCAAAGAGAAAAAAAAAAAATCAAACACACCAATTATGTGTAGGAATACTTACAATTTTGGACATCCCTCTTGTCGGGTAATGGTATCCACCAGAAAGGCCATGCGTGGCATCAGATCTCAAGTAAAGCATCAACCAAGGATACTTTTTCGAAGTCCTCAAGACATTATGAAAAACCCAACTTCCCTTCCCAATCTCCTTCTCCCATGTCACAGAATGGTAAGAAATATTAACATCTCTAACTACCCCTAATCCCCCACTTAAATCATAATTAGCATCCAAATCCCAGGTCCCATGAAACTTCCCCTTAAGAGCAGCCGTATTAGGGCCCACCAATTTGGTGTAGTCATGGAAAATAGATGGTTGGTTCATACACCCCTGTCCAAAACAGGGGAAGCCATTGTCGGGTCCAAAGGGCCCCACTTTGACACCATTTTTGGGGCACTTGGCTGCAAAAGTGTCCATGTTTCCGCTCTTGAGCATGATCATCCAGAATTGCCATGGATTTGGGGGGTCTTCAACTTGGCATTTTAAGCCCAAATACAGTTCTTTTTCTGCAGCATAAAGATCTGGGTTGAATAGGGCCTGTGATGAGAGTCCTAGAAAAGGATCACCTGTCCTTAACTTGTTGTCTTCTGGCGTGACTCTGTGGACTAACAAGTAAGGAATCATGTCGCAAAGCGAGCAATTTGTTTCTGTGGAAATGTGTAAAGAAATCAAACGTAAGGCCAACGTAATTACTAGTACTACAAGTTTTTCTACCAAGGATTATGTTTTATTTTGATGAAATAAAGTTCGAGAAGGGAGCCATGGTGTTAGCATAGCCCTGAACGTTGTTGAAGAGGCTACCCTAAACACTAATTAACAAGAATGGCCCTAACGGTGTGCGCTACCTTTTTATAAGGAACTCGTCACCTCAGTCACACCGAATGTGTAAGCGATCAAGATATATTAGGGTGTGGTATCATATATATCAAATCGAGTGCCACCTAACACTCGAATTTTTTACTATAGACTCAACTACGGTAATTTTTTATCGCTAGGCCATCAAAATCGGTGGTCTTCTAAGGATTGTGAATGTGCAGTTTTATGTATGAACTATAAATGATCATAAAGTTATGAACTTACGAAACTTAATTTGATAAACAGAAATTCTAAAACTACCGGAAGCAAATGTCAATGCTGTTTAATTACTAACGGTATGTATAATGAAAAGTTAATAGTTTTCAAGAAAAATAACTTTTGTGATAAAAGAAGGGTACAATGATATTTGTTGATGCCAACTATCATAAGATCAACAAGAAAAAAACACTAACTTCATGAAGAAAACTATTTGTCATGCCGTGATTGAAAGAAGTATTGTAATCGAATTTGGACGAAAAAGAAACAAAAAAAAGGAAAGAAAAAAGGAATTTAGTTATAAGAAACCATGAACCTTTCGAAAGTGGAGATGTTTTATAGACGTCAAAGCAATCAGCAAGCCTTGGACTCCCAGTGACTGGAGCTTCTTCGCCAACCTCATTGCACTGATTCCATGATTCTATTGCCACCCTCAGCCCGTCCCTTCGCATTCCTGGATCGCCAACCGCCGATATGTATCCATTCTCTGCCCTCACAGACAAAATCTCATTACAGCAAAACACAAAAAGAAAAAGTGCAAGAAGAGAATGACATAATAGTCTTTCCATTGATGAGAGTCAAGAAAGCTTAAAGAGAAAAGCATGTGTTTCTATGGTTTGCTTATATAGGTATAGGAGTATGGACAGCCTCAAAACTATCTATAACTAACAAATATATTATTATCATTTCATTGTAATATCTTCTTTTTTTTTTTCCTTTCAAATAAGTATTCCTATATTCTACATTTACTTTGCTTAGTTCTCTTCTACTCTAATATTTCACGAATATTCCTTGTTGTTCTACACGACCTACGACTTCTTTATCCTCTACTTTTCTTATCAAGTGGCAAAGTTTTTATTATATTTCAAAATCGTTCCAGAGAAGAAAGAGCTTTTCTTCTTGAGCAATATCAAACAAAGTATAGCACGGAACTATGAGATTAAAAAAGAAACGTTTTGATCTCTTTTCCGGTTATAATTTTCAACTTAAGGGGCGCCAAAATCATGAGACTGATGAAAGTATGGTTAAGTTATTTATAATTATGAACTTTACCTACAGGAAGAAAATCCTCTGCTGGTGACTGAATTAATTTGTAACCATTTGTCTGTTTGCAAGAGTATGTAACATTATGTAATTAATTGTATATGTGCAAAGTCAACCTCAAAAATTGTATATAAGAGTTGTAATAACATTTTATCACCACATATGTCTATCAAACATCGGTGCCTAATATTGACTAATATTACTGGATAGTAATTGCTTCATTGTCAAGATTTTGAAGAAAGCTGGAGAAAAAGCACCATCTAGTTAGGAGGGTATGGCCCCCTTGGAACTTACCCTTTGAAGGAACTTGGAAAATTGCCTAATCTAATTTCAGCTAAGCCTGTAAGTGTGGGACTTTCTCTCGTCCGCCTCTCTACCGGTAGAGTCAGTTTCTGACTGTTGAATCTGATTAAAATTCTATTAGATTAAAAAATATATATACAAAACAGACAGTTTCTGATACATATATGACGGCTGAAAAGTAATTAACTACTTATAGTTATTATTTTTTCTAGTCCTACAAGAGATAATGTTACAAAGATTGGAACTTATCGCCAACCTATTTGGCAACCAGAAATTACTCTCTTTTATTATGGGGTTACGTCTTAATCAATTCTCCTTATTAGACAACTACTTGTAGTTCCAGTTTTGATACGAAGATCTTGAAAGGGAAACTTTTTTCCCCATAAAGAAACCTTAAAAGAAAGAGAGAAAGAAAGAGATTTGAAACTGCAAGCGTGTTTGGGAGTAATGCGGTTTTCTTTACACCAAGTGGATGCCTTGCTCATGTCTAGAGTAAGACGGAAGAATTTGGATTCTCATATATATTCACGTCTTGGAATGCAATCCTTCCTTTCTCTATGCATACATTAATAAAAAGGGTTTGCAAAAGTTTCACCTTTCAAGGCCCAAAAGTTCTCTCTTTCCTACTTGGAAAATTTGGTTGTATCAAGTAACTGCTCATTTTAGCTTTGAAACTTGATTTAGTATTCAGCTCTTGTCCCACTGATATACTATCCTTGGCAGTTGGGCCTATCAAGAAAATTACTCGGGACTATTTGGCACATCCGACCGCATAAACTTTTGAGGGTTCACAAGTTGCTTTTAAATTTTTAAATTTGATGAAGTACTCCTGACGTTTGTTTTAAGAGTTTTACTTGATTTAGGATCGTAGTTTTTAGTTTTGTTACAGTATTTTTTTCTTATAAAAAATTTAAATTTTAAAAATTAAAATCATAAACTATAATTTTGAACCATAAATCCAACATCACTTAAGTATTACGCCACTTAAGTGTTACAAAGTGTCTTTTAAATGGATGACTACTACTAACGTTTGAGCCAAAAAGCACCTTATGCACGTTATATGAGCTCCTTTAAAAGAAAAATAAAATTTAAATAATAATTGAAATTTATCGTGCTTTAAAGCGTTTTCATGCAAAGTTTAACATATCATCCATCCATCCATTGATTTAAAAAAACTCTATTATATTTAATTAAACTTTTTAGAATAATTTGCCACAATAAAAGCTCAATGAGAAATTCACCAATTCAATCAATCAAAGCATAAAAACAAACTCCATAAAAACTCAATTACTTATTAATGGCACACCAGGCCAAGATCGATTTAGAAGATAATATGTTTTGGAGTATTACCTAAAAATAGCATCACATTCAAAGTTAAGTAAGATGTCAACTAGGTGAGTTGACACACACGTGGCAAGCTTAAAGAGATGATATGTGGTAAAATCCTACACATATTGATAGGTGTCCTAATACTTGTCAGTAAAACTTAGCCCCAGTTAGCTCGCCGATTCGAGTTTTTAATTCGAGTTAAAATGTGATTTTATGTGAGAGTTTTTAACTGTAGTAAAAAATTTAGATATAACTTTTTATAAGAACTTTTAAATATAACAAAATTGGAATTGAAAATTTAAATCAATAAAATAAACGAGACATAATCTTTGCTCGACATGCATTGAGCTAGGTGTCATTGAAGTTGCTGACTGTCAATAAAGCTTAAAACTTTAAAGATACTTTGCTGTTGGCCAATTAATCCTATAAATATAGCTTTAGAACTCCATAATACAACAATTGAAAACAATACAAAAAAGCCATTACTCCATCAGATTTCCATTACTTACCACATTTTCTCTCTCATTCATTACATCCCTCTAACCACCCAAAAGTCATATATTCACCTTTATATGTCTAGTTGATTCATGATATAACCCAAGAAACTCCACTTTCTTGATCCTAAAGTCAAGTCTTATTCTATTATTACACATAAATCTGCATATAATACAAACTGCTACAACCTCCTATAAATAACACTCATGTGAACTCATAAATTCTTGTCCTTTTCTTATCTCTTTTAGTGACTTTTTTCAATAAACTCACACTACATATGTTATCTTCTAATGTTGTCACAAATCTATTTCTCTCTAAATTTACAAATTCACTAGTTTCTTAGTGTAATTAATTTCAATAACCATATATCTCCATTTCATTATTTAATTTCTTGTCCATTTAATTTTCTGTATTTTATATTTATATTATTTCATTTTTCTGTTCACAGTATTACACCGGTCTTTATTTTATTTTTTGAATAACCATATATCTCCATTTCATTATTTAATTTCTTGTCCATTTAATTTCTGTATTTTATATTTATATTATTTCATTTTTCTGTTCACAGTATTACACCGGTCTTTATTTTATTTTTTTATCATTTATTTTAATTACAACTTGACATATGGGTTGAGTTATCAAACCACTCATATTGTTGTAGAAAGTGTCGTCGCAACTACATACTCTAATTATTTAATTTATGAAAAGTGTTATTTTGATACGACCGCCCGTTTTATTTATTTTTCTTCACGAAAGTGTTGTTTAAATTGCGACCGCCTGTTTTGCTTATTTTATTTTACATGCAGTAATATATTCATTATCACCTGTACCACTTCATGCCATCTTATTTGCATGCATGCATTCCCTAATTAATTTGAACATAATTAATTATATTTACTTTTTATTTTAATCAATTATCATTTATGTTAATCACCCAGAGTAGTCCGAACACAATACGTACGAGATATTGTGCATTGACTATCATAAAATAAAAAAGAAAGGGATAAATGTATTATCTCACAAACTCATGATGAGAGAGAGAGAGAGAGAGAGAAAGAAAGAGAGCGAGAGAGAGAGAGAGAGAGAGAGAGAGAGAGAGAGAGTGAGGTGAAAAGGACTTTTGCTTGTTGGAAAGATTGGTTAGTGAACCAAACCTATAAAAGCCCAGAGATTACAATAGTACAAGTTAGACCTAGCCCATTATGACCCAGCCCAATTGACGCATCCTATCATAATGAAATACGCGGTCTACTCTAGTCGATGACCAACTTGTACTACTCTTTTTGACTAAAGTAAAAGTTGCATAATCTAGAGAACCAAAGACCAAACAAACAAAAAGCAAAAGAAAGTATTCTATCAAACAGAGAAAAATAAAAAAATAAAAAAAAAGGTGACGGTATATTTACTAAAGAAAGATGAAATTCCAAAAAGAGAATAAAAACTAGTGCTACCTCAAATCAATAAAAACCCAAAAGGAACTCTTACTTTACTTAATCTTCCTCATAACAAATTAAAGAAAAGAACGAGCCATACAAACACTAATACAAATGCCTACTTGCTTTGAATTAAATGAAGCAATATGCAATCTGTTCCCTTCACCTATAGCTAGAGGATTTTCATTATTCAAGTTTCAAGAGGTCCCCCACTAATATGTTCCATTTTTGTGTTTTTTTCTATTTTGTGAAGAATATTTTTGTGGGCTAATTTAGAGGTCAGGTCCCATTATGGAGGCACAAATCTTTTTCAGGTAGAAGCCACAAAGCAGAAACAAAAAAAAAAAAAAAAAAAAAAAAAAAAAAAAAAAAAAAAAAAAGTGGGAGAGTGGTCACGGGATTTTAGGGCGGGCCTTTCTTTTGAAAAAAATAGCACTCAACTAAAGGAAGAAATCCACGTCCCCCATTAACATCCTAACTGTCTCTCCGCCTAGAACTCTCTCTCTCTCTCTCTCTCTACTATCTTTCCAATTCAGTTCTTCTTAATCAAAACACAACAACCTTAACAAAAGCAAACACACACCAAATTGTCTTTGGCAGCAAATCATGAAGTGGGGTAGGAAAAAAACTTCTTTTCCTTCTTCTTATTCACCTTCACCACCTTGTTCTACGCCTTCTTCTTTGATCTCTCATGTGTTTCCCGTTTCATGGCTTTCCAAGTTCAAGCACAAGAGTGGCAATTCAGAACCAAAACCCAGAAAGGGAAATCCCAAAGGCAAGTGGAATTCTCCACCATTGATCAGCTCACCAAGGTACTGTGCTAGTAGTAATGGTAATGGCCAATTCTATGGTTTGGAAGCTGACGACGATGCGTTTTGGAGGCTGTCATTTGGACAAGATGGTGCTGAGGAGAAGAAGAAAATTCTCGGTATGAAATCAGTTTGGCATGATCCTAATGATGAGCTTCGAACTCCGGTTCCAAGTTGTCCAAACTGCAGAAGGAAAGAGGCTCAGAAGTCGAACAAGGAGAGAGAATTGAGGTCACCAACAAGTAATAGAACTGCAAAAGAGAGGAAATCACGAGGAGAATCGGGAGCTTTCGAGACGAGAAGGAAATGCAGGTATGTTTCTCCGGTTGGTGCGAGAAATCCCGGCCTGAAAACGATTGAGGAAGAAGGACTCAACTTGGAAAACAGTGAAGAACACTCCGAAGAAAACACGGGTTTTCATTGTAAAGTTATGAAAGAGCTGAAGATGAAAGAGGTGAAGTCAAGGAATGAGAAACAAAGGAAGTCTGTGTATTTAAGCAGAGAAGAGCAGCAGAGGAAGAGAACAAAGCAGATTAACAAAGCAAGAGCTTATTCTCCGAGAACCGCCTCGAGGCTTGAAGTATGCAAGGTTAAGGCTCTTGAGGACATGAAGAAAGCCAAGTTGAAGATGAAGAGGAAGAAGAAGAAGAAGGAGGTCAAGGAGAGAGGAACAGTTGAGCAGTCAAAGACAGGGTTGGACAGCTTTGCAGTGGTGAAGAGTTCATTTGACCCTCAAAAAGACTTCAAAGATTCAATGGTTGAAATGATTGTGGAGAAGAAGATGAGCAAGCCGGAGGAGCTCGAAGAACTCTTGGCTTGTTATCTGACATTGAATTCTGATGAATACCATGATATGATCATCAAGGTGTTCAGACAGGTATGGTTTGAGTTGGGTCAGTCTTGTTTTAGTTCTGAATTACAGAACGAACAAATTTCTAGCGACTAATTAATTTATGTTTTAGTTGATTATATAAGCAACATGAAATCAACATTGTATATAGGTACTTACACAATCTGTTAGATGATATTATTTGCTTCTAATATGTATTGAACTTTGTTTAGCTTCATATTTCTTGTAAATGGTCCAAATTTCACTTGCAAAAGAGTTTTGAGTGCAAAAACATCATCATGGAAGCACTGTTGCAAATGTATCCGCATGCGAGTCTGCAACGTCAAGACTTTCACTTTTTGTATCTGTTGCTTAGTGGGGGATTCTCTGTGTGGGATTTTGAGTAGCGAAAAATCTTGAAAAGAAACTTGGAGAAATAAAAGAGAGTTCTACATGCTTCATCATAGGAATTCTATTATTCTATAATAATGGCATTTTATCATCACATTATTGAATCTTCACAATGAAGGGTGACAACATTTAGTAGCTCCAACTGAGGCAGCTTAAGTAGTGTGAAACACCCGTGATAATGTAAACACATGCCTAGAAAAGCAGTCCTTTTGCAAATTACTGAGCAAAAAACAATAAACAATAAACCAAACAAAAAAAACAAAAAACAAAACACATTATCGCTCGAGTCCAAAATAAAAGTTTTTTTACTGCATGCATAGCAGTTTTCACTAATAGGGTAGAAAACCAAATAATTGATCGGCAAAGCAAATCTAAACTAGACATTTGACTTTTCAGTATCTTAAGGTAGAAGATAAACTATCATCTGGATTTTGAACTGTATAGAGAAGCTTTATTCTACCAAGGAGACAATTAGTACAGGAGATGAGGCAAGTACTTTTTTTCTGCTTCCAATTTTTCAAACTGTGTTCCCTATGACTTTTAAAATTTTCATGTAATAAACAAATAATTTACACACATACAGGAATTAGTACGAATGGAAAAGGAGGGAAAAGAAAAAGTAAAGGAAAAAAAAAAAAGGTAAACCACAAAATTTAAACCAGATATTCAGTGCCTAGTAATTTTTTTTTTTTTTTTTTTTCAATCTATCGCCACGACAATGTCTGCATCCGTCTCTCTTTAAACAATAAACAGAAACAAAGCTATGGGCTTCCATGAAGTGCGCTGTGTATTTTGTTAGGATGATTTCCTATGTCGACGGCAAAAAACTATGTATGATCCAATTCTTGCTCCTCTGCCTAAAAGACCTGGGAAGTTGATCACGGTCGCATCACGTAAGCATCCCCATACTGTCGCAAACAATAGAAAAAAGTGAATAATCACATTATTTTCAGACTTAACTGAACGACAGCATCACAAGGTTACAGGACTAAAAAACTGCAAAAATTTAACAAATGAAGCCGTGTAGAGTATGCAAAATGCAAGGTTTGTTGCGCCAATCATCAAAACTACATACTTTGGCATGCCCAGAATTACAAAGATTGACGAGGGGAACTCGATATTCTGAAAGAGTTGTACTTCATAACATAGTGATCCACTTTATTTGCATCAAGTGGTCACATATATCCAACTTGGCAGCATGTCGACGTGAGGACTGTTACAATCTTTTATTTGTTATTTAAAGAATAATAATAATAATAATTATTATTATTATTATTATTATTATTATTATTATTATTATTATTGTTTTTGGAGACATGGTGATTCCTACATGAAGTCCATTCACCATAAGTGATAGAAGAAAGCTTTAGTTACTAAGGAAGATACAAGCCGAACATTCGAGTAACTCTAATGTGACTCCTAAAATTGAAATCAACAGTGGTCCTCAAAAGTTAAGCTAGTTCTACAAATTATGAAAGATTGTAAAATCATATCACTGCACATTACATTACATCACCATAGGTGTTTTCTACTAACTCTTCTTAAAAATAACTCTGGCAAGATTTTAGAGACAAGTTTAACGAACCATTGCCTAAAAACAGAAAGAACACAAGAATACAGACATTGGCAATCTCCAATTAGAATATTCAAAACTACTAGACAATGAGAGTAGAGAAATAAGGTTACTTACCACTTCAGAACAAAAAAGCACAACTTCCCAGAGAAAGAGTGAGACATCTTCGAGCAGAGACTGCAATGATGAGATAGGACGTAAACGTTCTCTTCTGATGCCGAAAAAATTTGCAACTTAGTGCAATAAATTGAGCTAAAACATGTAATTAGCTTAAGTGGTGTTGGAAAACAACTACTTACATATCTGATCAAAGCAAGCAAAGGCCTGCTACACATACAAATGAATTGTTGCATATATTGACATATCATTACAGATGTAGTTCTGTTACGGTAATGATAAACAAGTAAATTAACATGGAAGGTTGGGTAGGAGAGACAAAAGTAATACATGAGCAATCTAATGTTGAACGTTCCACCATCTAGTCAAAGACTACGAAAATTAGAAAAAGTTTCACGATCAACATCTCACGAGACATGCCATATGTTTTGATATTAGAGGTCCTGTTTGACTAGCTACTCTAGTTTAAACACCTAAGTAACATGTTTCTGTCATACTTTTCAATGGTAAACCTTATAGCTTCGCATGCATTCTCGTCATAGTCATATGCCTGTTGTTGTAAGTAATTTGGAATTCTAGAAACTTCCAACAGGTTATGGCGTGTCTATGTCTTGAAATCCCAAACAGACCCATCACAAGAAAGAACACACTTGAAGAGTCTATTTTAAAAAGAACCTAATAAGAACTAATTATAAATTAATGAGACCAAAATGCAAACATGACATTTCAAAACATCGAATGATCACACTGGTGAAGAAACCTCCTTCAAACTGAAGAGGAAAGAGCAAGTCAGCATGGACAAGCTCGAGGAAAAAAAAAGGAAATCTAAAACATAGCCGGAAGAACCTATAACATCTTGAATCCTAGAGAAGATCATGAAAGGATAGAAGAGGGATATATATAAATATGTAAATATATATATATATATGCGTCCAAGATATCAATTAACACAGCAAATCAACAACATGGAAAATAATTGAGTGATGCCAATTCAACTAAGTGACTAACTATAAGAGAATGGGTGAAAATAGATGGAAGATGACTTTTCTCACTGAAAGAACAGCATCAAGGAGAGAGGGGCAGGTTGTGAGGACGCCACTAAGAAAGCATATGAATTCTTCGCCTGTCACGTTGGCATGCTTATGTATTGAAATGATATGTCCCACACTTAGCAATAAGGTCCAAAAGAAAAGAAAAGCATGTCCTTATGCGCACACTAAAATGAACTATTGACAACCGTCATCCTTATATATCAAATAAGGAATTAGAACAACAAAAAGCCTTTAAAAATACAATAAAAGATCACTGAACCCAAGGTTGCTAAAGAGATTAGTAACTCCAAACATCAATTGTAAAGTTTCACTATGATGAGTTATGCGTACCCAAATTTAAAATGTGTGAGCTATTGGGGCATCAAAAGTTGAAAAATGAAGCGTTATCAAGTCCTCTCTGCTGGTGTAAGGTTTCCCATCTGTTCTGTAATGTTATTAACATTCCTCATGCCCCACCAAAACTTGCTACGATCACCAGGATTGCTTTCGTTCCTTCTTCCATCAGAATCCTTTCTTTCTGACTGAACTTCTTGTGTGTCTGATGAACCAGGATTCTCTGTCAAGAACTGTTCCCAGAAAACATCATTGACCCCAGTTGGTAGAGGAGTGGGCCCAATTGCTTGTTCCTTAGGGGATTGTTCTTTTGAGGCAGCAGGCTCAGAAGCACCAGTTGGAACAGGATCGGAGTTCACATCAATATCAGGGGATTTGGGTCGGATATCAACATTAAGCTGGACGTATGATATAGCTGGGCTTTCAGCACAACCTGTAGAATTAGATTCATCCAACTCGATGTTTGAACTAATCTGAAAGTGACTTTGAGAAAAATCACTAACAATATCCTCCCAAAATGTCAGCGATGCGTCCAACTGTTCTAACTGGTCCAAGTTTAAGTTCAAAAAAGAATCACTGTCCACCTTTTCTCCAAGTTCTGATTCCAAACCTCCAATCAGGTTATCTTTTATGCCAGCTCCGTCATAGAAGTAACCAACTTTTGGCAACCTTCTCTTTCTGATATGGGCCTCCACTTGTGGCACAATATTCATGGAAAGCTCCCGTTTCTGTAGAGCCTGATTCAATAAAGAGACAATGCTTTGTTGCCGCCGTTCTGTATTTTGAAAGCATTCCTTTAAACTGTGCTTTTGTATTTCCAATCCCCGCTGCTCATTCTCATACCTCTTTGACTCCAACTCGAGCCACTCTATGTCATGTTGAAGCCTTTCAATCTCATCCTTCAAACTCTTCCTCTCTGATTCAGCCAGTTGAGGAGTTCCCTGTCCTTGAAGATTTTGCAAAGAATGGCTGTGGACTGGCTTCCTTCTGTGGATATTCTTTAGAAGGTGTGGCTGACCTCTTATGAAATCCTCATTTGTGAATTCCCATTGCTCCGGATCAGCTTTTCTGAAACCCTATCACGGTAATAATATTTCATAAAAGAAAAATTAACTGGGAGGGGAAGGCACATATCAATGCTGAAAATAAATAAACATACAAAATGAAGGTTGATTCCTATTGCTCCGGATCAACTTCTTTAACACCCTATTGTGGTAAGTAAATTAACTCGAACATATAAATAATAAGATAGGAAAGGCACATATCAATGGAAAAATTATCTGTATTTACTTTCTTTTTTTTTTTCTACAAGTGAAATGCATGGTAGAGATTCTCTTGAGGAATATCTTGAGAATATCTCAGCCCTTCAGTACACTCGTTTATAGAAACAATATACCGAAAATGTTACTAAATAAGCCTAAATAACATTCCAAATGAAGGTTGATTTGCCATCGCTCTGGATCAGCTTTTTGAAAAACCCTATTTTGGTAAGCAATTATAATTAATAACTGAGATGGAAAAGGCACATATCAATGCAAAATTAAACAAAGATTCTAAATGAAGGCTGCTTCCCCTTGCTCCAGATCAGTTGATCTAAAATCCTATTGTGGTAAGTAAATTTATGAAAAACTAATAAACGACTGAAGGAAAGGCATGTATCACAGAAAAACTATCGCTTTAATTTCTGCATTTTTGTTTCAAAGCATTTTCAAGAAGATCACTTCATCCATTGTTTCACTTTTTATTATAATAACAAAGAACATAAATGCAACTGAAACCAGCACTAAACAACATGCCATATGAACTCCATTCCCATTGCTCCGGATCGACTTTTCTCGAACCCTATTTAATATTTCATTCCTCCGCAGACAAACATTTCTACAACCCTATCGAGGTAGTTAAACGTAAAGGAAAACAAATTGATAACTGATACAGAAAACCCATATCAATGCACAAAAACTGAATAACATAACAAATGAAGTTTGAAGAGAAAATCGGCTTACATATGTGTTGAGCTGTCTGATGAAGCTTGAAAAGTTATTGTGCTTAAAGAATCTGGGCAACAAAACCCCAGCAAACTCAGGTGGATTCCACACTATGAAGCTTTTATTCGAGGAACTCCACGACACGATCGAATCGGTCGAAGGGTCATCCACCATCTCATAGGTCTTTGAAAGAAAAGGAGGCAGCGAATTACAGCTGCCCTGAGATTCATCCATCCCAGTTTCTCAATCAATTTTCCTTAATCACAAACCTAAAAACAACTTCCAAATCCAAAACCCAGAACTAAAATATCAACCACTCATCATAACAAGAATAAAACCAATCATTGACGGAATCCCAAAACGACCAAAGATTCTTCCCAATTCTTCTTGATACAAACAAAATCCCAAAGAGAATATCAAAATCAAAACTTTCGAATCTTCAAACCTGTAATAGAACCCCCTTTTATATACTCGAGAAAAAAATAGAACCCAATTCAAAGGCTTCGAAATTCAACCATGATAATAACAGAAGAGAATATGATAATAATCAAAAAGACCTTCTGGAAAATGGAAATTTCCAGGTCAGGCAGACAAGACTAGATATGTGAAAAGTCAATTCCCAAGAATTCCAGAAGCTAATTTTCCTTGTAGCCAAACAAAGCGAAAATCCAACGAGGCAACGTCCAAAAATCAGAACACTTGGCAGCTCCCAAAATTCCTACACTGAAAACCAGGATTCATATTTATGTTATTAGTTGGAGCAAAAAATAAATAAAAAAAAAGTAAAAACAAAAACAAAAAACAACAGAAAAAATCCTGGCAATTCCTGACTCGTCGGACAGTAGCGTCAAAACCAAATTCCATCATTAAAGTTATCGAATTTCAAGTGATTTCATAAACAAAACTTGGAGCTAAAGTAACTGCTAAGTGTAAGAAAAGAGAAAAACAAAAATAAATTTAACAAAAAAAACACGCAACTTTCTTTCAGAATCCGAATCAGAGAGTCTTTGAGCTTTTACCCCAGAGAAAAGGAAGAGAGACAAGCGAAGTTGCAGAGGGGAGAGAGAGAGACAGAGAGAGGAGAGAGAAATCGCCGAACCAGAGAGCATCGAAGAAGATTCGTTTTTCACATGTGCTTCTCACAATTTCTCGGGATCCTCATTCTCGAACCGCGTACATATTATTATTATCAGTATTTTCTTCCACCATTTTTTCACAACAAAATATATGCTTTTCCTTTTAATAAGCCCTCGCTTTGATATTTCTTTTTTCCTATTAATAATAATTATAATGCCTTTTCTTTTTATTTAATAGGTACATTGCGTAATACGGATAATTGAAAATATAAAAAATAAGTGAGAAAATTCCGACCAATAATGAGGACCCGTGAATTTCAGTTCTGAACTCTGATTGGATGGTCACGGTAAGATCATATTTATATGACAAAATAGTCTTCGTCTATTTTTTTATTTATATATTATAAAAGAAAGAAATAATTTAATTGGCGTATTATTTTTTATTTATATATATATATAAAAAAGAAAGAGATATTTTAGTTGGCGTGGATTTGGACAAAACCTATTAACTTACTATTATATATTCTGATATGTGGCCCTAAATTCAAAGGATTTGGTTTCAATCCAAAACATAACGGATGAGAGAGATAAACAATCTCCTTTTTTTTTTCTTTTTTTTTTTGGGTTAGTATAATTAAAGAGTTTTAGAGGTGTCATTCTACCCATCTCTATCTCGGGTTTCGTTGAATAGAAAATACCTCATTCAATTCTAATTAAAGGATAAGATAAAGTTTTAAGGTCCCGTTTATTTCGCTGATTCGAGTTTAGAATTTGAGTTTTACTACAGTAAAAAGCTCTCACAAACAATCACATCTAACTTTTTTGCTACAGTAAAAAACTCTCACATAAAATCAAATCTCAACTCAAATTAAAAACTCGAATCAGCAAACTAAACGGGCCCCAAGTGAGTTATCTAGAGCTCCAGCATCCTACAATTTATTTACTAGGTAAGCTCTTTTATGTTAAAGTGGCTAAGATTTGGAATTGTAGACATTTTAGGTGGAAAAAAAAAAAAAAAAAAAAATCCTTATTGCTACATCAATCCATTGGATAAAAACAATTTTATAGTTTTTAAGGGAAAAAATAATTATCCTTATGTTTGAGTAAGAGTAAATTACATATCTAAATAAATAAAATAAAATAAAATTTTAGTAATACAGTTCTAATTAGTCAATTTTCTAAATCTTGTTAAATTTCAGTACTTTTCTTAATTTGGTATAATTTTATTGTAATTGAACAGTTTAAAAAATTTAAGTATAAAATTTTTTTTTCCCTCATCTTACCATAAATATTCAAAATAAAACTGGGAAAAGGGGCAACGATTTTTTTAAAGGGGAAAGGTGGGCATCCCCTAACCCTCACCGTACACGTGGTGTTGACCTTACTTACAGGATGTATCTCTCTTTCGCTTCAAGAATAAAATCAATCAGTTGTGCAAAGAGGTTTGTTGCTTTTTTTGTAGGAAAATATATCCTATAGCATATTTGATATCTATGTTTAAAGTAAATAAGATATTTTTTAAATGATAGTAAATTATAACATATTATTAATTTTCATTCTAAAATACATCAGTCTTTTAGGCACCGCTTTGAAAAGGGAAAAAGAAAACAATATTACAACTTTTGGGTATACATTCAAATAATAATTAATTAGGATTTTTGTTTTATATGGCTTTTTGAAAATATAGTTTATGGCCTTCTGAAAGCAGCTTATGACTTCGTGTACAAATTACTTTTAAATTCACAAAAATTTCTTCAAACTGGTGATCTCTTCGACGCTATCTACCAACTTCTTTGTAAAAATATGATTTTTTCCCCCTTTTTTTTTTGGTGATTTTTGTAATTTTTTGGATCTCAGTTTTGTGATTTTGGTTTGGGTGGATGTTTTGGTGGATCTTAGTTATGTGATTTTTGTTTGAGTTTGTGAGTTTTGGATCTGAATTGTTATTTGATGATTTTTATTCTTTTTTGTTGTGATTTGGTTACCGGCAGAGTTTCTAGTAAAGTTTGAGTTTATGATTTTATTTTTTGATTTTGGATTTTGAATCTGTCGTAAATATTATATCTACCGGTAAATACTCTTAGTAAATATTTTGATTTTCAATCTAGTAAATACTTATAAGTTTGAATTTGATAAATACGGTATTTTTTCAGTCGCCGGTTGGATCCGGTCACCAGATATTCAGATAAATATAGTAAATACGGTATTTACCACGCCGTAGTCGGTTGCTAGATTTTGAGATAAATATGGTATTTATCGATCGTTGTATTTTTGAATTAATATGGTAAATATGGTATTTACCGGTAAATATGATATTTACCAGTCATCGGAGACGGTCGCCGGAGATAGTTGCCGGCCGCCAGAGACGGTCACCGAAGCCAGCCGCTGGTCATTGGAGCTGGTCATAGTGGACTTGACTATAGGAAGAAGAAGAGAGATAAAAATGAGGCTTAAGGGTATTTTTGAGTTTTTAATAATATTTAAAAGTTAAAATATCAAATTATACTATAATATAATATTTTTAAAAAAATATGCTAAAATTTACTAAACATCCTATTAAATATGCTATTTCACTCTTTCTTTCTTTTTTATTATATTTTTTCTTTTTTTTCTCAAAAGGTTTTTTTTTTTTTGTTAATTCTTTGCTTGTTTGTCTTTTTTTAGATATCTTGCATTTGCATAACTTTAATAAAATTTATTTCCATGAGTCTAGTTTGAGGCCATCCCTTTGCGAATAGTAGGTGTATGTTAGAGGTGAAAGTTTAGGCCTCTTTGCTCAATAAAAATTTTAGGCCGGCTTTAAATGGAAGAGGAATGGTCTAGTTCAACCTAATCTGAAAGTTTATAAGATATTTTTTTATAAAAATCTTAAAAATAGAGCGTTTGGCTAGACCTAAATAAATTTTTGGGTTTTAAAATCTTAGCACGGCCCAAATCGGAGGTTAAGATAGGGTCAGACTGGGCCTGAACCGACATTTGACGGACCTTAAGTGACCTATTTAGTCGGGCCTAAACTTACAGTTATAGGTTTATTTTTTCACTAAGATATTTAGCTTAATCATAAATTATAAGTGCTCGTTATTGTACCAAAATAACCTAACAGTAAAATAATACTCAATTCCATCATCATAAGATGTAATGTTTAATTCTCGTACCTTTAAATTTAATATAAATAATAAATTATAAATGACCCACAAAATTAAGATTTAAAAATAGCATAAAGGAATCCTATCAAGTTGCTTATTAAAGGTGTAGATATTTTGTATTCATAATTGACAAGATCATAATTGATAGATGATATTAAAATTTATTATGTTTAAGGAACTGACAAGCCAAATATCACATCATTGATATATATATATATATACATATATTATATATTAATACAAAATATTCATATATACACACACATATACATTATACTTGCGTTAAAACATTTCATTAGGTGTTTGTTTTTTAATAAACATTGCCTTTAAAAAAAAAATCCTTCATTTTCTTTCTTTTCCTTCTTCTTACCCTTTTCTTCTAACGAGTTTTTCTTTTTAGAATTGGTTTTTTAGAGTTTTATCCATACTTCTTTAGGTCATTGCGTTCAAGTTTTTTTTTTCTTTCTTTTCCTTTTTTCTTCATGCTTATTTTCTTTCCATTTATACGTTATTGGTTTTTTTTTTTTTTTTGTTCATCGTGCAATTTTATATGCTCATTTGAAATGTGCATCCTCAAAATACAATTTATATATTCATTTTGAAATGCGTCTCATCAAATAACTTTCTCAGATTTGTGATTACCTAAACAATTTTTTTTTACAAGTAAACTTTTTTCTCATATGTGGTTCTCGTAATTATTTTTCTCTAACCAAACAATTTTTTCCCCTTCATATACCCAATAAATAGTTCAATAGGTAATTTTCACAATAAAAGGTTTTTTTTCTTTTTTAAATGTGCTATAATTAAATATCTTTTAACTAAATTAAACTCTTAAGAGTAATAAATAAATAAAATAAACTATTAAAGAAATTTTAGATTTTCATATGTAAAGAAGTTAATGAACTAAAAATGCACGCGGATAGCGTGTGCGAGCTTTTTTTTTTCCTTTTGTTTTTTTGTCTTTTTACTTCTTTTTAGGTTTTGGGTCTCCTTGATATTTATTTTTTTTTTTTGTCTTTTGGTCCCTACTTTTTTCCTTTTTTTTCTTGCCCCTCCCTTCTTTTTTCAATCCTTTATTTCACTCTTTAAAAAAAAAAAAAACTTTTTACCCTAAAACATTTAGTGGACGTTTGGTTCACGGATTCAGAACCATTCTCAGTTTACGTGTGTTTTTTGTGAGAAAAAGTATTGTAGCGAGCCACGAATCATTATTCGAATCATGGCACAAATCTTCATACCAAACACCCTATTATTTTCATTTCAATCCTTTTTTTAACTTTTTTTCTCCCTACCTTAAACCTTTTTTTAAAAAAAAAAATTGTTTCCTTTTTGCTTTAGAATTTTTTTTTTTTTTCATTTTGATCATTTCCTGATTTTTTTTTTCTAATTCTTGCCCTACAACTTTTTTTCTATTTTGGTCATTTTGAGATTTTATATGCTTTTAAATGTGTCTCATTTCAAAACTTCATTTTAAAAAGTTTTAATGTGACTTGCATTTTCCTTCCTCTACGCCTTATTTAATTGCAACTACTATTTTTTAATTCATGTATTCTCTCTAGTTTGTTTCCGTTGAGTGATTTTAAAATGCGATTTTTCCCTTACTTTATTCCTATTAACAAAGTTTCTTTCATATGTGTTTGTGCTTCAATTTTGTTTCTTATATTAATTTTTCTAAAAGATTATCTATAATGTAATCCTTTTTTAATGACTTCTTTTAAATTCCTTTTTTCCCGAGTGTTATCATTTAAATATATCTATTTTTTGGATGTGTCTCTATTTAATTT